GGAGGAGGAGAGGTATGTGATCAGGATCTTGCGCAAGGAATGGCAGACTCGAGGGTGCCAGGGGGTCGATGGGGAGGAAAAGGAGAGGAGGAGGAGGAGGAGGAGGAGGAGGAGGAGGAGGAGGAAGGTCCAGGAGGAGGAGGAGGAGGATCCACGAGGAGGAGGATCCACGAGGAGGAGGAGGAGGAGGATCTAGGAGGAGGACGAGGAATATCCAGGAGGAGGAGGAGGATCCTTAAGAGGATGAGGAGGAGGAAGGCTACGACCGATGACGACGATGACGACGGCGACGTACGACGTACGATGTTACAGGGGCGCCCCCCTGCATGCTGGCGGCGGCGGCGACGACGACGACGAGGAGCTCCGACGACGACGACGACGGCTGCGATGATCGACGATGACGCCGATGACGACGAAAACGACGGCGACGACGACGACGACGATCACGACGGCGACGACGACGACGACGATCGACGACGACGACGATGACGGCGACGACGGACGACGACGACGATCGTGTCGACGACGGACGGACGACGACGACGACGATGACGACGACGACGACGACGTCGTGAAGGGCGAGGGCGACGATCGAGGAGGAAGACAGGGAGGGGGTCAGAGAGACCGCGCCGCACAGGTGGACCTGTGCGGCGGCAACGATCCAGCCGCATCGATCCAACATGGCCGTTTACATTTACTACACGCACACGGCAGGAAGCAGCAGCCCTCCCGCCCCCCGCCCGACCGCCGACCGATCGGCCAAGGCCCACCTGCCCGCCCCCCTCCCCCGCCCGCCCGTGCGACCGCCTGGCCCAAATATCGCCGCCCGCCCGACCGCGCCGTCGGCCCTGGTCATGTTTTTAATGTTGCTAATGTTCATAATGTTGTTCGTAATGTTTTTTTTTAATGTGTTTGTAATGTGTTTAAAGCGTTTAATGTTTAAAATGTTTTAATATTTTTAATGTTGGACGTAATGTTTTTAATGTTGTTTTTAATGTTTTTAATGTTTTTGGATGGTAATGTTTTTAATGTTGTTAATGTTTTTAATGTTGTTCGTAATGTTTAGAATGTTGTTTTAATGTTTTAATGTTGTTAATGTTTTTAATGTTTTTAATGTTTCTAATGTTGTTCGTAATGTTTATAATGTTGTTTTAATGTTTTTAATGTGTTTAATGTTTTTACTGGTTTTAAGGTTGAACGTAATGTTTTTAATGTTGTTTTAATGTTTTTAATTGTTTTAATGTTGTTGGATGGTATTGTTTTTAATGTTGTTAATGGTTTTAATGCAGTTTGTAATGTTTATAATGTTGTTTTAATGGTTTTAATGGTTTTAATGTTTTTAATGTGTTTAATGTTGTTCGTCATGTTTATAATGTTGTTTTAATGTTTTTAATGTTTTTTTAATGTTTTTAATGTTGAACGTAATGTTTTTAATGTTGTTTTAATGTTTTTAATGTTGTTAATGTTTTTGGATGGTAATGTTTTTAATGTTGTTAATGTTTGTAATGGTGTTCGTAATGTTTATAATGGTGTTTTAATGTTTTTAATGTTGTTATTGTTTGTAATGTTTTCAATGTTTATAATGTTGTTCGTAATGGTTATAATGTTGTTTTAATGTTTTTAATGTTTTTAATGTTGTTCGTAATGTTTTCAATGTTTTTGTAATGTTTTTAATGTTTTCGGTACTCCGCCCATTCTGCGCGCCCTAAGCCCCCCGCCACCTCTTCGCCCGTCGGCCGCGGGGGGGGCGCCCGCCCGCCCGCGCCGCCAGTCGCCCCGCCCGCGCCCTTGCGCCGCCGTCCGCCCCCCGCCCGCCGCCGTCCGCCCGCCCCCCCCCCCCCTCGCCCTGCTCGCGTCGCGCCCGATCGCCCGCCCGCCCCATCCCCGCGGGAATTGGCCCCGTGACCGCGGCCAAGGTACACGCGCGCGCGCGAACGCACACGCACGCGCACGCACGCGCGCGCGGAACATGCATCCGCCGCGGGGCCCGCTGGAATGGTCCCGCGGCGCTGGCGTTGGCGCACTTGCAGCAGGTGCGCCATCCATTTGGATATTGCGCGAGCTCGGATTTGCATATGCAATAAAAAAGGAGGAGGGTAGGCGAGTAGAGGAGGGGGAGGCGAACCCCCGCCCTGCGTCGATCGCCCGCCCCGACTGATCGTGCACAATCACACGCGTCCACTTGCCCCCCGCTTGCGGATCCCCGCCTGATCGCGCGCGCACACACACGCGCGCACGCACGCGCGCGCGCACGCACACTCACGCGCACGCACATGAACAGGCAGTCCTGTGCGCTCAAAGGCACATGTGGGCGCGCATGGGAATGGCCACCAGGCTCAGATGAGGCACAAAGAGGGAAGACTATAACGGCCAGCGAATTCGCTGAACGACATCCAAAAGCACACGCACGCACACAAACACACACATTAGCACGCCCGCACGCCCGCACGCCCGCACGCACGCACGCGCGCACGCACACACACACACACACACACGCACACACACACACGCACACACACACACACACACGCACACACACACACGCACACGCACACGCACACACACGCACACACACGCACACACACACACACACACGCGCACACACGTAGTGTGTACATACATACACATACATATATGCACACACAATTAATGTGCGCCTGCAGCGCTGCCGCGGGGCCCGCTCATCGGGCCCCGCGGCGCTGGCTTGAGCGCACTTGCAGCAGGTGAGGCATGCATTTGGATATTGCGCGAGCTCCAAGTAAAAAAAAAAAAAGATGATGATAGGAGGAGGAGGGGGAGGATATAGGAGGAGGAGGAGGAGGAGGAGGAGGCGGAGGAGGAGGAGGACTGCACGCGGAGGATGGGGGAGGGAGGGGATCTTAACAGGATGTGGGAGGGGGGTCTGGGGATGGGGAAGGGGTTACAGGCCTGGAGGAGGAGGAGGGATAGGTCCATGAGATCGGGGGGCCTCCGGTACCGAGGCAGAGATCAAGAGGCACATTTGGATATTGCGACGGGTTGACTCGGAGTCACATGTTCCTAGGACTCACATGTAGGTAGCGACGGGGGACACTATTTGGATATTGCGACGAGCTCGAGCCACTGCGTCGAGCTAGCTTGGGGGGGCCTGGTCCTCGACGGATCTTCGACATTTCGCTCGGCATCGCTCGGGCGTGTGCATTGTTCTTTCGGCGAGGACCATCGAGAAGCATGCTTGATCAGTTGGCGAAACCACGCACGAAACCGAAACAAAACACAGGGAATGGACGTCCGAACGATGCTTAGTTTCGGGCCGACCGATCGTGGCGACGCCAGTACTGCAGCCCAGGCGAGCCATGGGCAAGCGGGCGGCAGCCAAATCAACGGGCGGGGCTGGCTCCCGCAAGAACGAGGCGAAGGACAAACGCAAGCTCAACGCGGACCACGAAAACGCGATGCAGAGGCTCAGGATCGATCGATTCTGTTGAATGGGGGGGGCCCTGGGCCGTGGAGGAAACAGGTCGGATCGATTCTCTGACCTTTTCTCCTCGTCGTTGTCGTTGTCGTTGTCGTTGTCGTCGTCGTCGTCGTCGTCGTCGTCGTCGTCGTCGTCGTTGGCCGTCGTCGTCGTCGTTGGCTGTCGTCGTCGTCGCCATCGTCGCCGTCGCCGTCGTCGTCGTCGTCACTGTCGCCGTCGCCGTCGCCGTACTCGCCCTCGCCCTCGTCGCGAGCGCGGGCCCCGCCAGGACCCAGCTCAAGAAGGAGAGCAGGGAGCTTCGCAGCGAGTTCAGGCACAAGAGCCGCACGGAGAAGAAGGACTTTTTGGCCAAGTGGATGGAGACAGGCCGAGCAGGGCAGGGGATTGCATATGAGGGAGGAAGCATGAGCACCATGGGACATGGCTCCTGCGACATGCATGCGTGGAGCTGTCGACTCTATTCTCTCTTCCTCCCTCGCCCATCCTCACTCGATCTGGCCCCGAACTCTGCTTGCTGCAAGTTTGCCTGCCAGGCCACTTCGAGTGGGCCGAGACGGTGAAGCGCCAGAGGGAGGAGCAGGCCAAGCAGGCCCACAGGCGCGGGTCCTGGATGAGCTACGACGGTCTCTTGTCCCACTTCGGGTGGACGGAGCAGAACTCTGGGTCGCCCTTCGGCCAGAGGATGCTCAGTTTTATTTCCGTGTCGCACTTCTCTTTTGCGTTGTGCTTCGCGGTCGTCGCTCCACCGAGTGCGTAGATCATTGCCCACGTGGCGGGAAGGCTAAAAGAATTCGGGGGGGAGGATGACGAGGAGGAGAATGAGGAAGAGGAAGAACGAGGTGAGGGGGAAACTTACCAGGGTCAAGGTTCGAGGACGTTGTACAGGCGACCTGTGCCCCTCATGGCATCCCTCCCCCTCATCCTTCTGCTCCTGACCCCTCTTCCCTCCTGACCCCTCTTCCCCTCATCGTGCCAACAATCCGTCTGCCTCGTCTCTTCCCAGGGCCACCCTGAAGGCCGACGCAGTGGTGAAGCATGCCAAAGCCATCAAGGGATGCGTGAAGACCGACGAACAAACGGGCGAGACCATGTACAAGCGGATCACACAGGACGATGATGAAGTTCAGGAGTCTGATGTTTCATATTGCGATGAAAGGGGCGACTTGCTAGTCGACAGGGGGCCGAATTGACGACTCAGAGGGGCCCGACCGACTCAGGGAGAGCGAACAGGAGGAGAAGGACGAGGAGGATGAGGAGGAGTCGATCGAGCATGGAGGGATACACCCGATGGACGTGCGATCTGCTCCGTGCGTTTCATGATTGAGCTTGATCGTCTGAGTTTCAAGCACCATGTGAGATCCGCATTGCCCGAGAGTCAGAATTCTGAACCCAGTTTCAGCCCTTTCGACGGGCCCAACTTAGCTCTCAAAGACTGGAGTTTTTCACAGCATTGATTTTTCAAAGACGTCATCCCCAGATTCAAAGTAAGACGAGGGAGACGACGTTCTCTTCGGGGCGCATCCCGATCCAAGACGTGCAGAAGGACCATGACCGTGCTCAGGCCAGCCCAATCAACCAGCCAGTGAAGAAGGGGGCCGTCGGGCCGAGCATGGTCAAGCGCGAGGAGCACATCCAGGTGGGGCCCTTGCTGCGATCTCGGGCTCGGCTTCGATGGAACTCGAGGTCGGTCACCCTCGTCGATCCGGTTCCTCCTCTCCTCCTGCTCATTATCCCTCTCATTGCCCAGCTCGGCGGCCTTCCCCCTCCAGCTCCCCCCTCGAGGAGGCCTCCCCGTAGGCTGGCCGATGGAGCAGAGGATGCACATCGGAGCTCGGCGGAGTGACGAGATTTGTTTGGAAATAAGGGGTTGGGATGTGAGAGGGGAGTGCACGGCTTCGGGCGCGAGTCGAGTAGCCAGGATATCAGACAGCCAGCCAGGCTGCAGAGCGGAAGGCTGCGAAGCACAGCATGCCGTCGAACTCCTCGGAGAGTGAGTACTCCTACTCGGACTCCGACTCGCCCGAGGAGAGCGAGGGCCCGCCTGCAGGGGCATCGAGGGCCACGGGAAGCATGGGTGTCATCCCAGAGCTGCTCGGCAAGGTCACGCACATCATCGTCCTACTGGAGGGTCTGGAGGCGCGACGGGGCCATGCAGCGCACAAGCATTTTGGGGAGGGCCATGTGCTGAATGGATTGCATCAACACAATGACCGTGATGATAAGAATCCATGAGGGGCTAGGGCAATGATCCCCGTCATCGAGGGTCTCTCGACAATTCGGGTGATGAGTCAGATGAGGAGCAGGAGACTGAGGATGACTACGATCACGAAGCGAAACGGAGTTCAAGCAATCGTGTGAAGGATGAGGAAGAGGAGGAGGAGCAGCAAATACGATGGCGGAAGTGAGAGGGAGGAGGAGGAGGAGGAGGAGGAGGAGGAGGAGGAGGAGGACGAGGAGGAGGAGGAGGAGCACGATGAGGAGGAGGAGGAGGAGGAGGAGGAGGAGGAGGAGGAGGAGGAGGAGGGGGAGGGGGAGGAGGAGGAGGAGGAGGAGGAGGGAGGAGGAGGAGGAGGAGGAGGAGGAGGAGGAGGAGGAGGAGGAGGAGGAGCCGCCTCGACCCCCCTCGCACCCACACTCTCCCTTCCCCTCCCCTCTCCTCCCCTCCCTCTCGTCGATCCCCTGATTCTGTTGATGGGCCCATGGGGAGGCCAAGCAGTACCCGTGGTACGAGCCTTTCTCGGCCGAGACCCAGAATGCGACCAACAACCTGAGCGAGAGCAAGCAGCAGCTGACTGCCTTGATCCAAGGAACGTCGGGGCCCTAGCGGGTGAGAGGGATCGAGGGAGGGAGGGAGGGATCACGAGGGAGGGATCGAGAGGGGGAGGAAGGGAGGGAGGGAAGGAGGAGGGGGGAATGAACTCGATGGGAAGGGATCAAACGGAACCGCATGCGATCAGCTAGGGACGGAGTGGGCTCAATGGTGCCGTGCAGGCTGGAGTATCGACGACTCCAGTGGCTGAGATCTCGAGATTCCCAGCGGCCTCGATCGGCCCAGTGTCGCTTGGGGATGTTCGCGAGATCGATCTCGAGTCGCCCAGGTGCACCTCCTCCCAGGCCAAGGAGATCAAGGGCGCGGAGAGCGCGATCAAGGAGGCTCCTGCCTCGGCCATGGAAGAGAGATGCGAGGAGGGATGGCTCGGGGGAAGCAGTTAAAGGAGGGAGCACTGGGAGGGAGGAGGACGATAATGAGGAGGGAGGAAGAGGAGGAGGATGAGGAGGAGGAGGAGGAGGAGGCGGAAGAGGAGGAGGAGGAGGATGAGGAGGAAGAGGAGGATGAGGAGGGGGTGCAAACGCACCCTTACCCACCCCCTGCAAGTGAAGTTACTTGGGCATGTATTTTGCTGACCGCAATCATGTTGGCTTTCCAGTGCTGCTCAATTGAACGTCACCGTTACTTTTCAGGGGGAGGAGGAGGAGGAGGAGGAGGAGGAGGAGGAGGAGGTGGAAGATAAAGACCACAGTCGAGTGATCCACAGCGAGATCTCGGCCCCAAACTCTCGGGTGACCCTGGGCCCGCTGAGGGGGAGCGCGTCTGGGCCAACATCTCCCCCGTGATGGAGAGCATGGCCAACGCTACCAAGGCTCTGGGCCAGCAGTAAGTGAAGGCGCGTCAGCAGGCTCAGTTTTGAAGGAGGCCGTTCATGGTAGACGATTCCTCGAACTGATTGGGTCAGTGCGCACTCGAGGAATGAACCAAGTCGGCCGCAGATCTCGACCCACTCCAAGCATGCAGCGCAGTCGTAGAAGCAGGAGAAGAGCGAGTACAGCATGAGAAGAGATGGAGGAGAGGGGAGGGATGGGGGAGGGAAGGAGGTGGGGAATGGGGGAGGGAAGGATAGCCTGTAAGGACAAAGCTTGGGAAGGACTGGAGAGGCATGAGCACAGCACAACACGAGCAACACGAGCAACCACACAGCACGAGCAACAGGGAAAGAACGAGCACAGCACGAGCAACCATGAACAGCAACGGCACGGCATGCGATGATGATGGCCACGATCACGGGAAAGAGATAGAGAGAGAGAGGAAGTGAGGTCGAGAGAGAGGGCTCCCTTGATCTTGAAGCGCGTGCCCGAGCTACATGTACATACAACGTTGCGTCGCAGCCTGCATGCATTGTTGTTTCTGACGTGCTCGCGTTCGGTTGAAATGGTCCCGCGCGAGCGGGATAGAGGAGGGCAGAGAATCCGCCCAGCATCATTCGAAAGGCAGCCGCACGGGGAAGTCTGGTCGACTGAGGGGGCGAGCGGCAGTGTGCAGTTTTGCACTTCTCACTTTACTTCGGGGACCCTTCTAGAACGACCACCGTTGCAGGGAGAGATCGGCACAGCTGAGGGCAGGGGGACGAGGAATAGGAAGAAGGAGGAGGGAGGAGAGGCGGGAGCATGGGGATGAGGGAGTAAGGGGACGGGGGTCACTCTGACCTTTCGCCTGGAGCAGAGGGGACGTGCAGTGCACATAACGTGGGTACGTGCGCGCGTGCATTGCTTCAACTTTCGTGTGGGCTTCTGGGGGCGGCGGTGCATCCAAAGAGGCCCTCGATATTCGCAGGCAGACCTGTGGCCACATGCTGACGGGATGGGGAGCGAGATGTCCTGTTGTGTTCATGCATTTGGCGTTTTTCGGTGAGCAGGGTTAGCATGGGAAGGATCGGATCCGTAGCACTCGCTTCGATCAAGTCGTTGCGCGGGGCTCGCCGAGGCCTCTTGCGTTTACTCCGGTCTATCTAGTAGTCGCGGGGTTCGCCGAGGCCTCTTCCTTCTCATGTCCAGGGCGGCTGCAGCAGCAGAGCTGGCCGCGTCATCATACGGCCATCGATCCAGGGACGTGCGCGCGCCGAGTGCTCGCGAGGAGGTGCGTCTCGATGCAGGCCGTGGCGGGGATATCGAGGGAGCACAGAGCGGGGACGGTGGTGCAGGTCTTCGGGCGTATCTGGTGGGGCGGTACAAAGCAGGCACCCTCTCGGCAGTAGATGTGACGACGATCTGTTTCCACTCGCACATTGCTGGGGCTGTTGGTGTAGGAGATCTCGCGCTAGATCCATCGCAGAGCGCACGAGCGTCGCAGCACTTGAGAAACGCTCTGAACCTCGGGGCTGCATCGGAAGATTTCTTCACGGTGCAGATGCCTTGCTGGGACAAAGGGAAATATTGCAGAACGTTTATGGCGTTTCCGTTTCTTCTCCCTCACGATATTTTTGCACGCAGCTGGCGTGAGAACCCAGCTCAATGGGACCCGTTGAACTACGACACCGACGTGCTGCCTGTGTCCTTCGAGAACAACGAGGCACACCAAAATAAACAACGCCACCCCTCCAGACGTGCACGATCCCAGGGCGATCCGTGCGCCATCGTTGTCGCCAGGGCACGGTGTGCTATAACATTGCGCACAGAGATCGTAGCCTAGGATCACGGGTTGGGGTTACATTGTTTATTTTGTTTGTTTTGTTTTTTTGTTGTTTTCATCAGGTGGTCCAGGAAGCGCCTGGTCGAACGACACCTGTGGGGCACTTTTCCGACGCTGTCCCGCTGACCAAGCGCGACAGCTTCTTCTGTTTCTACATGAGCAGCGGCCTCTCCAAGAAGAGGTTTCTCGTATGCACCATACGGAAGCAGGACGTCTGCAAATGTGGCTGCAAAGGGAACTGTAGTTTTGGCCTCATCCAGCGGGTTCTCCGCTGGTCATACAATGCTCTGGCGGAGGGCGTGTACCCCGACCGCGACCATGACGAGAATCCCCTGCCTGAGCATAGAGCTGTGTCGCGTGGCTTTCCACTTGCTGGAGGGTGGCGAGCAGCACTGTGTGAAATCCGAGCAGACCTCTTGGAGGTCACGGGGGCTTATGGATTCAAAACGTGGCAGAACCCTAGGAACCCCTGCTTCGCGTGCACAGTGTCCAAGGCAAACTTGTTCAACTACCCTAGGACGATGGCGGAGATCGAATGGGCCCCGCGGGACAAGCACCAGTACCAAACCATGTAAGACAACTCCCTGCGCAAGGTTCAGGTTCCAGACCCAGCCGCTCTGAAACGATTGATCGCATGTTTGAAGATGGACCCTGGCGCTGGCGGTTTCGTCGTGCATGGGCGACGCAATGTTGAGTTCGACCTGCCAGTAGGATACCGTCTCATCGAGAACGCGCATGTGACAGATATCCACAAGGTGGAAGCCGTAGAGACCCCAGCAGAGCTGCATTTCTTCAACGCTTTCAACAGCCAGGGCCTTGATCAGATTTGTGCCCTTTTTGACATCAAGGGGGTGTCTGTGGACACCATCATGCTCGACGGGATGCACATCCTCGACCTGGGCGTGGCCCAGTACGTCATAGGCGCAGTGATCTTCCTGTTGATCACAAACAACTTTGCCCGCAGCACGAAACCCAGAGCAGCAGCGAGGCAGCACGATTGCCTTCTCCACCTGCGGAGAAGATTGCGGTCGTTCTACATTGCGTCGGGCGCGAACAGGAAAAGGGGAGCTAAATCCATGATAGGGAGGCTGACTGTCAAAATGTTCATGCCGCCGAAGGAAGGCAAGATCCCGCGCCTCAAGGCGAAGGCGGCCGAGTCCAGACACTTAGTTCCTATCCTGCCTGTGCTATGCCGTGAAGCATTCACTTTTCTAGGGCCGCGCAAGGCGGCCCTCGTGCGTTGTTGCACGCACCTGGCAGCCGTTTACAACGTCCCGAAAGACTCGAGACTGCACATGCGCCAGACGGCGGTGCACATCTTCCAGCAACGAGTTCGGAACCCGCATTTGGCAACGTTCCCTTCGTAGGCCACGTACTTTGCTGGATTCGGCTCGATACCTCGTATGCCTTGTTTTTGCTGGAGTCGGCTCGAATTCGGCGGAACCCGCATTTGGCAACGTTCCCTTCGTAGGCCACGTACTTTGCTGGATTCGGCTCGATACCTCGTATGCCTTGTTTTTGCTGGATTCGGCTCGAATTCGGGTCCGAGTTGGCTTGGGTTTCGCTCACATGTTGCGGCGTGTGTGTTCCTTTCTCGTTACAGACGAACACGATTGCATGTTTGAATGCGTGGGCA